GGGGCCCTTTAGCATAGTGAGAGAAGATCTTCACCCTGAAATCTACAGCGTCCCTTTTCAGCAGGAAGTAGCTAAGAGAATACGCTGTCCCTTTTTCCTTATGAATCAAGGTGAAATCTCTCTCAGGGAGGAGTGATAGGGAATGACAAAGGACACACTTGACAAAGGAGATTAATCAGAACTGGCTTTGACAAGCACTGTGGCAATTGGACAATTAAAACAGACTTTCAAGGGGGGAAAAAAAGAGAGAGGAATGAACTGGGAGGGGTAGAGAAAATAGAGCAACAATGAATGAATGGAAATCCAAAATCTCTGTAAATTTTCATTAAAATAAATAAAATTTTAACAAAAGAAAGTAAAAAAAAAAAAACACAAAACCTCAAGATAGTAAGAGAAACTAAATAAAACAAAATAAACAAAGCCAATATCCAACAGGCAAGTCACAGGGTAAATCTAATTTACAATCTTAAACAAAGGATCAAGAAGCAGGTACCATAGCTGAGCAGCTACCATAAAAGTCATTCAGGTGGGGATGGGGTGGCATTTAAATAAGGTGATGTTCATGGCCTAGGTCATGCATGATGTCACATCTGAACTCTTCTTACAGCACCATTTGTCATGTCTAAGGTCAGGTATTTTGCTCATTATGTCAAATGTCAAGTCTGAGGCAATCATCTAATGCCAGACACTCAGGTTCAGTGGCCAATTGGAAAATATACAAAAAGGTGAGGAGTTGTGAGAGGTTTAAACAAACTTTTACTCTGATTCTCACACAGACTGCAAGGACATAAGCCATATTGTGAGCCTTACCATGAGCCCATACTATGTGCCACCTAGGACCTTTTCTATCAAGTTCTTACAGTGCTCAGAACAAAGGTGGCTCTTTGCCACACTTATGCACAAATCACTAACCTTATCACTCTATGTACCTGTGCAGTCACGTAAAATAATGATTCAGCATAGCACGACTGTACTTGCTCTGACATGGCTGCAGTCTGGCTAAAACTGCTTATTGTATGTATATAAGGCGCTTTAAAGGTTAGTGCAAATCTGCCTCCTGGGTATATACAACACACTGCTGTTTCTGACGCACTGTCTATGACTTGCTCTAGGTGTTACCTCCAGCAGGCTATCTGAGTGAGCTGGCCACACTTAAAGGCAAACTTTTGAGACAGAGCTGCTTATGTGTTGGACACTAATGTCACAAAGAGCCACTAAGCTATTGACTAACAGAGGGAGAAGGATTTGTTGGGATTTTTTGTGGGTTTTTGTTTGTTTGTTTCTCTCCAAAGATGATCTAATATACAAATAGGTTATATCAAAAGGTTCCCTAAGTCTGAAAATGAGCATGTTTGAGGCTGTACAATCTGAAATAGTTGATGTTGTTATACTCCATCAAGACAGTATCAATTCATAGGTGACTCTCCAGTGAGTTTTCAGAGGCTGTCCATTTTTCTCCCATGAAGTAGCTGGTGGATTTGAACTACTTGCTTTTCAGTTGACAGTAAACTTCTTACCTGCTAGGCTACCAGAGCTTTCTTTATGAAATTGAGAAGTGGCAATATAAAGACAGAAGAACTCATAAGAAGTTTAGGAAGTAGCAAAATTAAGTTGACTTTACACTAGAATTTAATAACCAAAAATGCACAGACTTTTACACAAATGAAAATAAACGGCTAAGCTTCCTTCCTTACTCTTACCTACTGCTGCTGAGTCAGTTCCGACACACAGCTGACCCTCCAGTGGGTTTCCAAGGCTACCAACTGTATGGGGTAGGGATGAGGGAGACTGCCCACGTTTCTTCTGCAGAGCTGCAGGAGGATTCAGAGGGCCAGAGAAACCCACAGCTGGCAGGTCGGCAGCTACTCTCTACAGACTACACCACGAGAGCTCCCAAACAAAAGAAAAGCTGTTTCTTAAA